ATGACTTTTGACTTAATACATGATCTAATGGCTTAAAGTACAATCTCAAGAATTCAAATACAACATGTTGACCTAATTTCATGGCTCAAAACATTTCTCAAGATCATTGGATTGATAGATGAAATTTGATCAATTGATGAAAAAGTTAATTGTACACAAAAAAGTTAAACTTTGGTTTTCTGATCAAATTTGAGTTTCAAAGATCACAATTCATCAAGACATTCAAAAATATGAAGCTTGATCATCAAGAAATCAAGAAAGTCAAAAGTCAATGAGAAAAATCAAACTTTTCAAGACTTAGAAATTTTTCTTATGTGTTTTTTGTACATGATAATTTCACTACTTCATAACATTCTTTCACCAAAATGCAAGATGATTCAAAGAAAACTTTCAACATGAAAGTTGTAGATCTTGATGAGATCTACAACTTTGCTTTATTGATCAAGTCCTAGAAGTGCTTGGATTGTGAGTTATAAATTTCTGAAGTCATGACATTTTCATCTAACACTTTATGAAATTTTCAACAGATTTTGATCAGGATTTTATCTCAACTTCTTGGCATTTTTTCACATAGTTCCAAGATGATTTTGTCAAAATGGCCAACATGGAAGTTATAGAGGGTGCTTCAAGCTTTTCAAAACATCCAGGAGCATGAATTTATCATACTTGATATAGGAGATTCAAGGGCATGAAGTTGGGCATCCATTCTTGAATTATAAGTCTTTTTGGTGAAGAACACATAATCCAATCCTTATGTTATGTTGTATAATCTTGTGTTGTGGGCCTTCTAACTTGCAAATCTCACCATAATTTAATGCTTACACCTACTCTTGAGCTATTACCCAAGTGTTTGAGTCATTGTCCAAAAGATCTTTCCATTTATGGCATAAAGTTACCATTGTTATTCTTGAAAAGCAAGCTTGTTGGTACAAAATTTGTCTTGAGCTCATACCTTGTTTACTTCTGATTTTACTCCAGCATAAATCATGGAAAGTAGCCCCTTTATACCAGCAACTTTGGTACTTCATCTCGAGACTATGAGGAATTGACATAGTTTGATATTTGCATCCCAACCAAACCATAACAGGCTATCTTGCAAACCTAATCAGCTCTTGTTCCCAAACCTCTTGCCTATAAATAGATGGAGCATTTGCAAGAGAAAGAGGTCAGATTCTTGTGTATTGAAAAATCCTCAAACCCCCCTTATACTCTAAAAAACCAGAATTGTCCATAAAAAATCTTCATCTTTGAGCTTTGAGATCCAAACCCTTTGAGTCTCCAAAACCTTTCAAGTTTTCCCTAAACAAACCATCCACATACTTCATATACATCACATTGAAGTTGTTCAAACACAAGAGCAATTTATGTAACATCACTGTCACTATTCTCCAAACTCAATAACAGCCACTTGACTTCTCTAAGACAATACATCAACTCTAAGTCAAAACACAAATTTCAGTTTCAAGATAAGTTTTCTTGACTTTGAACTCTTCATACAAGCATCATTAGTGATTCATTTGTGAAGATAAAATATAGATATCATTGCCCTGAAGCTAACCATATGTTTACTTTCTATTTTCATTAACCATGTGTTGAGAACTAACTCATATATGCAGCAGAAAAATGTTATAAGTAAAAAAACAGTAGTATGAGTCGATGCATATCTCCATGAGTCGACACATATTAAGTACAAAATAGGTTATGAGTCGATACAAAACACGAATGAGTCGATGCATAACAAAAATGAGTCGATACAAATCATTATGTGTCGACTCATACTGAGTTGGTTTTGATTTCCAAGAGCAGAGAAATTATATGTATCGATGCATAAGTGCAGGTTATGAGTCAATACAAACTATTAAGTGTCGACTCATACTGAGTTGCTTTTGATTTCCAGGAGCAAGGAATGATATGTATCGATGCATAAGTGCATGTATCAATACAAAATAGATGAGTCAGTGCATAAGTTCATGCGTCAATGCATAAAAGTTTCCATATCAATGCGTAAAAAATTTTGTATCAATGCGTAAGTGTATGTGTTAATACATAAAAGTTTTTGTTAAAACAATTTTTCTTTTTTTTTACATTATCTTTATATTTCTTTATATTTTTATTGTTATTCATCATTATGGTTGTAATAGTAATTAGGTTTTAATTGTTTTCATTCCTCATTTGTAAATTTGTATCCTCATTCAAAAAAAAATGTAATAGCATAGAATTTACATTTTCGCAATTTACCACTTTCAATATTATTGCTAGTAATTAGAGTGTGTATGGCAAGATAAAATCAATCTTAGAGAATCATAATCTCAAGACAAGAATGCATGAAAACAAACACTTTACACATTTGCATCTCTAGGGTTAATCTCGCTTGTTGCCTTGAGAAAAACAGTCATGTCCCTCGAACGTGGAATAATGCCTTCTGTAAACAATTTTAGACTCTTACAAAAATTACTAAGGTATCCTACAATATTGTCTTTTATGACTATACAATGACTCACGCTTATCCATTCACATCCAATGATATGGCTTTTTATCAATCATTAGTAAGATAGCAATATCTAAAGAATAAGGAAATGAACAAAGACTTTTTGAATATATATTACATTCTTAGTTGCTTGCTCACAACCATTTTCAAAATATCTTTCAAATACACCAACACTTTCAAATGAAATATTTTCAAAAGTCAACACTTTATATGTATTCTTATAGAGACGAGAATCATTACAAAGTTCGTCTAAACAAAAACACTTTTCAAAATCACTTTCAAACAAACCACACATTTTCAAACAAAACATTTCAAAGTGAGCTAATAACTAAAAATCCGTAGATAACTACAGATGAAAATGATGCTAACACCTTTTCTTTTCATAACATACTTTGAACTCAAGAAAATTTCTCAAAACGTCTTTCATATTCTTTTCACTCTTTCCTTTATTGGATAAAAAAAAATCGGTGGCAACTCTGACTATCCACAACAATTACGATAAAACGCAAAACAACAACGTTAATTCTCTCACCATATTACAAGAACAAAAATTTTATATAAAATCAAACTGGACAGTAAACTCAAGGTTCCCCTAAAACAAAAATAACAATTCATACGTTGAAACATAAAAATAGTGAAAGAATTATCAAATAACACTTGAATATTTTCATTATCATCAAAATAAACATAGAAAACAAAATTTTATGTTTTCATTATAATAACTATATCATTCTCATATATTCAATGATATAATAAAGATAAGAAAATAAGATATAAACACCAGTAGCACATGTAAATGCTAATAATTTTCAAAATATTAATTTTGCCATTGAGGGATCTCTTAATTAAGATATTCTATGTACACGTAACCAAAGTAGATTCAGCTTTGATACCATAAATCAGACAACACTTAAACCAAAACAACAGGCAAGGTATACACCCAACAGCTGACCAGTGAATAAACGAAATTTACATTTTTACTCTCCAAAATATGTCCAAACTATTGTGATATCCCAAACCATATCCAAAACTCCAGAATCAGATGTTCATAATCTAATAAAAAACAACAAATGATTAGTATATCCAACTTCTCTCTTATGAAACATTGATAAGACTCTTGATCACCAAACAAACTTCATAGCCAAGTTAAACGACAGTTCAAAAGACAAGTCATATAAAAAAGCTAATTGAAATTAAGATGAACAAAAGGAATCAAATTGGCATGGTTTGAATATACTCGGAAAGGAGAAGTCATAAATATTACAAATTTCAACCTATAAAAACTCATGAAATAAATCAATTTTAATATCAGTGATAAAAGACACATGTTTCAGAACTAGAGGGAACACACACCTGAAATTCAAATACCAACATACCAACTCCATATAAGATGTTAAAATTATTTTTCAATCCATGTGTAACAATAAAAAAAAAAAAGCACACACATCAAGGATATTATAATGTGTTGTTAGAATGTTCTATATTTCTAGGAGAAATAGAATAGTAAAAATTTAGAGGACGAACTCACTGAACAAAGCTCACTGCTTTATATTATTTTCATGTTTTTCAAAAAGAATAGTAATAAGCAAATAGCTTTTTCCATGTTTCAAATAATTGAAAAGATCAAAAAATAAAGCATTGAACAATATTTTTAAAAATCCGTAGCACCCATCTACAGTGTGAAAAGAAGAAAAAAAATGAAGATGTAATTAGTCAATAACGGCAAATTCCATTGACGGTAGAACCAAAACATTTAAATCAAAATATATTTTTCTAAAGTGTGAGCAGTGGATTCAAAAGGGGGGAGAAACATGCTTGGTGCAGTTGATGCTTCTTATACAAATGGAAAACTGAAGTTTTGGACTATTGGAGCCTATATCATTAACTCAAACATAGTAACATAAATAATGGCATCATAGTTTATTATAATTTATATAAACAATGTGAAAAAATAACAATAAAATCAGTACAATAATCCAGTATAGGTGTCCTTTGAGCATAGCATTATTTCAAAATTATAATATCATATATTCAAAAGATTAATTAACGCAGCCGGTGGGTTAGACATCTACACTCTCCAGCTTAGACATAGCCCAGTAAAGAATTACTATTACCAATAACGATGCTGATTAAATAGTAAAAAAAAACAATACCATGTAAAAACTCAATCACACTTCATTCATTTTTAGAAACATTTTATAGCTTGTTTAGTTTTAGAAAGGAAAAAACAAGTCCTCCCCTCCTCTCCAAAATCCTCCTACCTAAGAGACCTTGGGAACTGGAGATCTCCTTCACAAATCACAAATACCATAAAGAAACATTCTAAAAAAGCTAGACTAGCCCTATCCTATTTCAGAACCTCGGTTAGGTGTTTGAAAGTGAGAATTATCTATGTTAGTTGGGCTCAGATAATTAAAAGTAATAATGAAATGCCATTCCACAGAGAAAGGTCTAGTCAGATTTAACTGGAAAATGTTTCTCAACAAAGAAATATGTACCTGCCTGGTGATGGCTAAAAGCATCTAAAAGGTGGTGTCGTAGTCAAGTCTTGCTGAATTTCTTTAATCTCACGGTCCTGGATGGTAACATGTAAAAAGAAACAGTTAAGAGATTGTAGGTGGTAAATCTTCACCCTTTTATCATATATCATGCCTCAGAGAAAAACGTATACCAATGACAACCAAAAAAAAAACTGTAAAATCAAATGAATATATCACATACCGCATTATAAATGGGTATTTCATTGCGCCAAAACTCCAAGGAAGGTAGAAGTAACCTACCTGCAGCATTAACCAAATATAAACAACATAGTGCAAAGTAAATGCTTTTCAAATTACTATACAAAGAATGCTAACAATAGCCTCAGGTGAGAAGTGTTGAAAAGCATGAATGAGTTTTTGCATGAAAAATCAAATAGTGTATATATTATCAGTTACGAAATAAAATGTGTTACTTCATGAATTACCAATGAATGACTGAAATAATTACCAGATCTGGATTTTTTAACACTTAGTGACTCCGGGGAAACTATGGATAGTCCCTGTTTACTTCCCTTGTTCAAGTGACTTGCATCCCTTCCTTGGGGAGATTTTACCGAAGATGAGGATTTCATAACTTTTCTCTTAGGATTGACCGCTTCTGTTTCAACTGTCACCTTTTTTTTCTTATGACCCACTTCAGTTTTTGCTGAAGAAGTTTTGGAAATTTTGGAACTGAATTTATTAGTGACTTGCCCAGACAGCGTTTTTACTATTCCACTTTGTGACTGAACGGGTGTCGAGAGATTTTCCAGCCCCCCATCACTCTTTTCTGTGGTTGCTGAGGCAGAGATCTGGTCTTTACTTCGACGTGTTGTCGGACCTCCAGTAGCAGGTTGCTTCTTCTGGAAGGATGTAACATTACGCAACCGGCCACTACGTCTATTCCCGTCACTACCATGAACAACATTGGCTTCACTCGTCTTAATTGACATATCTTCTTCACCTTCAAGGAATAACTTATTGCAATGTCCTGTGGCCTTTTCCGGTGTTACCGATGAAGTAGGAAAAGAATTTTCCACAGCTGCGACAACAATTAAAAAACCAAGATATAGAGATTATAGATATAGGAAATGATAAAACATTAAACAAATAAGACATGAATAAACACAAATACGAATCATTAACAAAAATGTATAAATATTTACCACAAGATGATATTTCTGAAAGATTTGCTGATACATTATCAAGATGCACAGTATCTGAATCACGATTTTCCACTGCCTTTGAGGTAGAGCTTGGCTCTTCATGTGGGTGCTTGAGAGGAACTCTAGACGTAAGCTGCTGCTTCGGCTTCTTTTTGTTCTTCTGATTCTGACAGACGTTAATACTATGCAACCTGGTACTACGTCTATTTTGAACACTACCACTAGCAACATTTACCCCACGCATCTCCTTTGAGACTTCGCAATCATCACCAGGGAATGATGTCTGGTTATTTTCTGGGGCTTCTTGAGGCAATTCCGACAAAACAGGAATGGATTTTTCCTCATCTGCAACCACAATCAAAACAACTACTTAAATGTAGAGACTGAAGAGATAAATGATAAAACAAACAAAAAAAAACTTTCTAAATACATCTATCTAACTCTTAACTAGAAGCACTTGTATATTTAGCTTGTGTTACAAGTATGTAACTGATTCTAATACATTTTAACAGAATTTATTTAATCAAGTAATAGTTTAACTAGTTTATATTAACTCACATTAAAAAAGTAACTTATATCAACTCATGAGTAAATAACCTATATCAGCTAATCTACCTTCTTTTATCTATAATACATTATTAGAATTCAATATTTAAAAGCAAACTTAAACCATTCAAAAAATGAAGTAACTTAATTAATGATTCTGTTTTTACAACATACATTAAAATAGTATTTAGATTAAAGAACCACACAATCTAGTTTTTATCAGTAGAAATTAGAATTTTAGATGTTAGTCTCAATCAATAGTTCTAAATCACAATTTTAATCAGTACTATCACTTTCTTAAAATGTAATGCTAGTACTATGGTTTCTTACCTGTTATTTATGTCAGCTATTAGCATACTTTTTTAATATAAAAAAACAAATAAAAGAAAAACAAAATGTGGCAGACTAAACTTTTATTTGTCATTTTTCAAACATATTTTGAATTATCCCTGTATTGAGTTTTTGTTTCTTTAATTATTCACTTTATAAGCGACACAAAACAAAACAATGACATGAATTCACAAGTCTCACTCAGAATAATAAGTGTAGTTAAGAAAATTGTGGAATAAGCATTTTTTTTCTTCATACTTTCAAATTTTGTTGGTTTTTTCATCTAAATCAGTGACATGGAACCGCAAACAAAACCTTTCAAGGCAATCCACATCTACTACTCATGTTTTAAGGCTATCCACAGAAACCAAAAACAAAACCTTTCAACATCAAGCAAATTACCACGATTTGATCCATTGGTACTACACACACAAACCAAAATGAAAAAACCTATATTTCTTTCTTTGATTATAGCTTTGTTTACAAATCTAAACCCACCCCATTTTGCAGAATCTTCATCTGATTACGCTACATTGATCTACAAAGATTGTTCAAAAGAGACTTTCACATATCCAAATGGATTATACTCCCAAACACTTCCTACAGTCTTTGGTTCACTAGTTTCACAATCTACCAAAACAAAATTCTATAAAAACCACTTCTGGTAATGGCCAAAATAGTATAACTAGTTTAACTTATTGCAACGTCTGGTGGCCTTTTCCGGTGTAAAATAATTTTCCACGGCTGCGACAACAATTAAAATATCAAGATATAGAGACTATAGGCATAGGAAATGATAAAACATTAAACAAATAAGACATGAATAAACACACATACGAATCATTAACAAAAATGTCAAAACGTTTACCACCAGATGATATTTCTGGAAGAATTGCTGATACATTATCAAGATGCACAGTATCCGAATAACGATTTTCCACTGCCTTGGAGGTAGAGCTTGGCTCTTCATGTGGATGCTTGAGAGGAGTTCTAGACGTAGGTTGCTGCTTCGCCTTATTTTTCTTCTTCTGCTGCGGACAGACGTTTATACTATGCAACCTGGTACTACGTCTAATTACACCACTACCACTAGCAACATTTACCCCACTCATCTCCTTTGAGACTTCACATTCATCTCCAAGGAATGTTGTCTGGTTATTTTCCGGGGCTTCTTCAGGCAATTCCGACAAAACAAAAACATCTACCCCACTACCACAAGCAACATCTACCCCACAAATCTCCTTTGAGACTTCGCATTCATCTCCAAGGAATGGTGTCTGGTTATTTTCTGGGGCTTCTTCAGGCAATTCCAACAAAACAGAAATGGATTTTTCCTCTTCTGCAACCACAATCAAAACAACTACTTAAATGTAGAGACTAAAGCGATAAATGATAAAACAAAAAACAACTAATTTAAGACATGAACGCATCATTCGCAGCCATATCAAAATATTTACCGTCAGACGAAATGTCTTCGCAAATTGCAGATACATTACCCATAGCAGCATTGACTGAATCAGTAGCAGGTTCTACTTGTTCTCCAACGTAATGTGCAAACCAACAAGTTTCCCAGTTTGGAGGAAAGCCAGTGTAAAAACCATTGAAAATCTAAGCAAAAAGTAGAAAAGAAAAGAAAAAAAAGTGTATCACGGGTAGCAGTCAAACTCAATATCAAACTCAATTGACATTTATAAGAACAAACCTCAGGAGTAAAACCTTTTTCCAAGGTGCGCTCCTCATTGATGATACCCCTAATCAAAATGTATATACCATCGGCAGTCTTAAGGGAATACACATCGAATCTTTCAACAATAGGAGAAGAATTAAACACGCGAACAGCTTCTCCCCTGGATCACAATATTAAACGCGTGTTTGTTAAAAAGTTATACAAAACCCTAAATTATACAAAACTCAACATCAATCAGATGAAACCCTAACACAATATTCAACACACAGTGATGGCGAAACGGTAAAGAAATGAAAAGGCTAACGTGATTTTGGAACTTACTTTCTGGAAGAGATGCCGGAGATGGATAAACGGTTATCTGGAGATTTAACGAGCCACCAGTCGAATAATGTAACCTAGAGATGGAAAATAAAACGAAGTGAGATTAGAGAGAAGAAGACGAGAGAATGAAAGGGGAAAGAGAGTAAACCGTTGGTAGGAAATGAGAGCATGCGCGTGTGGCATTAGAAGTTGTTGAATCAGCCATTGTTGCGCTACACTCTTCCCGCACTCCACTGTACTGAGTTGCTGATTTTGATTTGGAGTGAATGAGAATGCCTCTAAAAACCCTTCCTTCTGTAGTTGTCAACTTTATTTCAATCTTTTTGAATTTTTCTTTTCATTCATAACAATCTCCAAAAAATTAAGGGGTTTTGAAATGTTTTAATAAATTTATTCAATTATATTGTTATAATATTTTTAAAATTAAAAGTATATTAATTATAAATAATTATTTTATTCTTTAAAAAAAATATTTTTCTAAATATGAATATCTCTTTTTTTTTCTTCTTTATTTCCGTCACATTCACGGGTAACACATACAAGACAAAGCGGACGGCCTACTCCGTTTAGACTCGTTTCATTTATGTTCGTTCAAAAGTGGAATGGAGAGGAGCGGACCAGACCAAATTAGGTGTCTGAGTTTAAAAGTTAAGTCTACACTATTTAATAACGAGTGAACAAGTTGGCGGGTTGGCCGATCTGCCAAACTCTTTTTTACACTTTAATTTATTACACAATTTATAAAATTTTGAATCAAAGAGATCGATAAAAAATATTTTTTAACAACGCATAATAGAATTTTTGACAAGTCTTAATGTCAATGTCATATTCTTCAACATAAGTAAAACAACATAACTATAACACCAAAAATTAAAAATAAATAATTAAAACACCAAAATAAATTACAAATATGGGTAGTATTTATTAATGAGTGGTAGCTTAT